TTTGATGACGTCAGAGATCACCAGCGAGGTTTTGTCTAGACATTTATAAGTTTTCTGTTGAGGAAAAATAGTTCACTTAATTACTTACAACTACAGCTGTGTAGAACAAATCATTAAGCATTTGTATCTAAGGACTTTTCTCAAGGTTTTTATTAGGCATCAGTCATTTCCAAAAGTTTCCAGCAGAGGCCGTCATTGTCTCAAAATGACTGCTGTATTCACGCGCCTTTTTTGTATTTCTTGTTACAGGTCATGGTGTTTCTATTTCAGGGGTGCTCAACCCTGTTCCTGGAGATCTGCCTTCCTGCTGAGTTCAGCTCCAACCCTGATCAAACACACCTGAACCAATGAATTAGGACCTGAACAGCACAGGATAATTACAGGCAGGTGTGTTTGAATGAAAATGAAATCTGCAGGAAAGTAAATCTCCGGGAACAGGGTTGGCCACCCCAGTATTAGGTCATAAAGAGCAGATTGCAGTAGAATGTGTAGTTTTCATTCATAATCTGCAATTCTGACATGTAATAGTGACATTTTATTCACCTTAGCAGATGCGAAGAAAGAACAAAAATGACCTGAACATATATTAGGTAATGCTAAACAAATCAGTAGTGCATCATAGAACTAAGTAGACCCTTTATGTAGCCTGTAAATATTTTATATATGTATTTACAATAGATGACAATGACAAACCAAAAAAACTAATGATAAAATAAATATATATTACTCTTGGTCTTTAACAAGAAGTGCACAGCAGAAGTAAAAAAAAAAAAAAAAAAAAAAAAACTAGATTAATTGTAATTGTAAAAACAAAAATCACTGACAAGCAACAACAAAACTTCAAAGAAATGTTATTTAGATAGGAAAAAAAATTATTTACAGATCATGGTCCTGTAAAGGTTGTGCAACTAACAGGTTAAAAAAGTCCTATCATTTCTGACCACATTGCTTGCTTTATGTTGTCTGTGTAAATGTATTTTTAAAATGTTAAATATGGAATAAACAGTATTGAATATCACAATTGTTATTAGTTTAAACTGCTTTCAGACAATCAGTACTTTAGTCCACTATTGCATTTATTTTAGATGTTATTATTTATTTTATATTTCATAGTAATGGTGTATTTTTATTTATAATTGAGAGGTGTGATAATCAGTGGATATGAGTTTTCTCCTACACAATTTTGTTCTGGGCTTAAATATGGACTGAGTTTCCCAGTCAAAGTCTGACCAGTGTAAGAGTAGATATGAGAGCTGGACTCCACATCATAAAAACAGACCAAACCCTCCTCATAATCCACAAACACAAACACAGACCCGCTGCGGCTTCACTTTCACAGGGATACTGACTGAGGGATCGACACAGGTGATGTATTTATCCCCATTTCTCAGAATTAAGTCCAACATCTTGGGACTCAGTAAGATCTCTCCCTTCCTTTTAATAAACTCTTGTGCAACTCCTACATCCCAGTCAGTCTTTCCCTTCACCTGCACCTCATAATAAAATCTGCCTGATGAAAATCCCTCCTTTCCCAGGACCATGAAATATTTATCAAATATCTGTGGTGTGTTTGGGAGTTCCTGTTTAATGTCTCCATGTTTCACTTAGTAGCAAAGAATTCTGGCCCAGATTTGGCAAAAAGCTGGCACAACAGGCATTCATCCGGCACTGGCATACAGCATGTGGGCCAAACATGGCCCGGGTTTGGCAGAGGTGGCACCGTCTTTAAGGCGGCACACAAGATTTGGGCCAGATGAAAAACGTAGTATTTGGCCCAGATTTAAAAAATTTGATAAGTGGGCCATGTGAGTTCGGCCAGTCTTGACCCACATTTAAAATACACTAAAATCATTTTTGAGTAAAGATTAAAAATTCTACCAATCAGGTCACTTTGAGAAAAAGCGTGCCCATAGTGTGCCTAAAGCGCATCACTCCATGGGTTTATCAATGTCATTGCAATCGTGACACACCAACCTATCTGGCCCAGTTATGAGTTATTAACTTGGCTGAGACTTGGCCCAGATATGGTCTGTATTAGGCCCTTGTCTGGAAGCCAGATTTGGTCCAGTCATGTACCGTAATTCACTGCGGCATGTGGGCCAAGCAAAACCTGATTGTGTGGGCCAGAGCCGGGCCAGAGAAATTTTGCTATGTGGGTTGTTTTCCATCATCAGACAGGATGAGTTCAGGTTGAGCTGTATCAGGATCCAGAGTCACATCCACTGAGAAAAAACAAATACAAACTACTATTTTGTAATGATGTTTTGATGCTTTAATGTTTAACAGAAGACATGCAGCCTGTTTGTTGTGTCTGTTTGAGTGAAAATATGCACTATAGTTTAAACAGTGTGAATTTGCTGAGAGTTTATGTGTAACTGGAAACTCCTGTTCCCTCATGTGAGCAAAATATGGACTCCACACCCTCCTTGCACCCCTTTTTATAAGCATATAGAATATATATGCCTAACAATTGTGCCTTTCCCTTTGAGCAATGCAGCAATTCTGCATGCACTACTCTGAGTTCAGATGTAGAATCTCACATGTGTTCACAGTGTCCCAGCTTCAGAAGAGGCAACAGGGAAATGCCTTAGTTTTATAAGGGAAAGTCCCAGAAAGAGAGAGCAAAAACATTTCTTGTGTGTGTAAAACACTCCAAACTTCAGATTTTGGATAGATTTTTTCAAGACACTTATCGCTCCGGCCTGTAGCACGGTGATGACATCACGTGTTAGTGCGCATGCGTTTGGCAGTGTTTAGATTTCATAAATTAATGCAAGAAGCATTATGTCCATTATGTCATAGCACATTTGTGAGTGATAGTTGCTAGAAATTAGATTTGCTTGTATTATTTAAGGGCTGCACGGTGGTTCAGTGGTTAGCACTGTCGCCTCACAGCAAGAAGGTCGCTGGTTCAAGCCCTTGAGAGGGGTCTGACTGCAGACCTGGTGCAGTGCGATCTGAGCTGCATCCAATGCTTTTTAATGTGCTTACCTAACCCCAGCCCTAACCCTACCCGTCACAGTGACGTCACTCCCTCCATTAAGTGCATTGTGTCTGACATTGCATCGCTGAGTGATGCAATCTCAGCCTGCATCATAAAGGCCGCATCCAGATACTATTGGTCCAGTTTGCGTTTCTGTACAGAGTTGGCGTGTTGGTGTGGGTTTCCTCCAGGTCCTCTGATTTCCCCCACAGTCAGTATAGGTGCACTAAAATGTGTGTGAATGTGAGAGTGTATGGTGGGTTTCCATGTACTGGTTTGTGGCTGGAAGAGTATCCACTGCGTAAAACACATGCTGGAATAGTTGGTGGTTCATTTCACTGTGTTGACCCCAGAAAAATAAGGGGCTAAGCCAAAGGAAAATAAATGAATGAACGCATTATTTATTAAATTACACATTACATTATGTGTTATTAACATCTACACCTACTATGCCCACTATGTAATGAACATCTTTTGCGCATGTGTGGTTTTAACACATGCTGTACGTCACGTTGCACACTTTAATGTGTTTGATGTTGTGCATGCATGACATCACTGCACTGCAGGCTGCATCTAGAACTGTTTGATTTTGTTCACCCAGCCTCTTCTTCTCTGATTTGGTGAACACGCAGGTTGCCAATATAATATGAGAAGATTTAAAAAGGAGTTTTACTTGTGCTGGAACATTCAGTAGGTAATATAAATGTACTGGATGTACTGAACATTCAGTATAAATTTATATTCATAGCCACATCAAAGTAAAAATAATTATTGAGGAAAAAAAACAACTAAATTAAAAAGTAAAATGAAGTGAAGTAATATCAAAATGTAAATAGTGTTTTGAGAAATGCACCAAAGACACCAAGAAAAACTGTAATAACTTTAGGAATCATTTTCAAGATCAGCAGTTCAGTACAGAAAGAGAAACATTTGGACACAAGCCCAATCATTTAAAAAGTCTTAAATCACAAAGTGCAATGTTAATATTTTCGGTTCTGAATTTTCCCTGAGAAGTATCCCTTTCGTTCAAAAGGAAACTAGAATTGACAATACACTGCATTGTGGAAAGGCGGAAGTGAAGTGACATCAAAGTGCTCGCTTATACAATTCTGCCGTCTGGTATTCTGGAAATTATAGTTTTATTTTTATTTCATGATAATCTGCTTGTTAAAGTTTATATAACTTAAAAATTTAACTCAACAATTATTTCTTACTTCTTTCTTTCTTTGCCCATATAAAAACACATTACAAATGACAAAGCCTACTCTGAATCTTCATGCACATGACAAGTATGTTATGATGGATGGATGGATGGATGCATGGATGGATGGATGGATGGATGGATGGATGGATGGATGGATGGATGGATAGATGGATAGATGGATAGATGGATAGATAGATAGATAGATAGATAGATAGATAGATAGATAGATAGATAGATAGATAGATAGATAGATAGATAGATAGATAAATAAATAAATAAATAAATAAAAATGTATACATAAAATAAAAATAAAAATATATAATGAGAAGTGAGATGTTCCTGTTCTGGTTAATTGCAAGAAACAGGAAATTATAAAAATGTATAAAATGTGTGAATCCATTTTTATGTATCAAAGTGTCTTTATTTAAATGCTCTAATTACAGTTTCAATATTTACATGGTTTTCTCTGTCATTTAATTTTTGTACATTTAAAATATGCAGCTAAATACAACAGACTGAAAATATAAATGAGGAATTTTGAGTTTCAGCAAGAACATGTTTAACATTTTTAAACATTCATTATACAAATCGTTGCTTTTGTCATGTTTCATTATTGGTGTAAATACAATTATTATAATTGACAGGTGTGATGATCAGTGGTGCTGAGTTTTTACCTGCATAATGACCACATGGGTTAAAAAATGGGTAGAGTTTTTCAGTGAAAGTCTGACCAGTGAAAGAGAAGATATGAGAGCCGGACTCTGCATCATAAAAGCAGACCAAACCCTCCTCATAATCCACAAACACACCGACCCGCTGCGGCTTCACTTTCAGAGACAGAGAGACAGAGGGACCAGTACAGGCTCTATATTCATTCCCATTCCTCAGAACCACAGTCCAGTGTCCATTACTAGGATTGAGTGTGTACGTTCCCTTCCTGCCTACAGATTCTCTGGCCACTCCTAATTCCCATTCAATCTTTCCCTTCACCTGCACCTCATAATAAAACCTCCCTGAGGAGAATCCCTCCTTTCCCAGAACAGAGACAGAGTAATCAAATCTCTGTGGATTGTTTGGGAGTTTCTGTATAATGTCTCCATCTCTCACTTGTTTTCCATCATCAGACAGGATGAGTTCAGGATGAGCTGTATCAGGATCCAGAGTCACATCCACTGAGGAAACAGAGAACATGAATCACAACAGAAACAGATTTTGCAATGATGATATTAATATTGTATGCATGTTTAATCAGTTTGTCTTGAACAGTACTGAAGCAGTGAGTGTAAACTAGTGTATAGTTCAGTACACTGTACCTGCATAGTGCTGCATCCACTTCAGCTCTGGAGACACAAAAACAATAAAACATCAGGGCATTGTTGAGCTGTTTTATGTATGGAATTACGCATTATAGACACACTTTTTATTAAAAAGAAATTGTTATAAACATTTTATTTTCTGATCAATGTGTATATTTATTATCAGTGTTTGTGTGTGCACTTTTGAAAAATAAATGTGCTTGACTGTATTGAAAGATTACATTTGTGTGCTTAAAATCTGGTAATTATACTTTTAAAAAGTGCATTTGTAGAATATAATATAATTAAAATGAAAGACCACTTAAGTAGAGGACACTTTAATGACATTATCTCTCAACACACTTTAATGTACTTTTTAAAATACATACACTTTACAATCATTTATAACTAAGTTGGACTAAAAGAAAGTGTTTTAAACCATTATGTTTTTGTAGTGTTTTGCAGAAGTATATTTATTTATTTGTTCCTTTAGTAGTTTGTTGTATGTATGGACTAATACATTTAAGTGCATGCACAATAATTGATTTTAATCTTGACCTAACTGTGGTGTCTAAAATTACATTTATTATTTATAAATAAATACATTTGGTGGTATGTTGTTAAGTCAGAGTATAGATTAGGATAATAATGTGTTGTATTTTACAACTGTGTACAAAATACTATTGAGAAACAAAATAATTCATTTATTAATTTTCCTTAGTCTTTTTATTCATCTGTGGTCGCCACAACGGAATGAACCGCCAACTGTTCCCGCATATGTTTTACACAGCAGATGCCCTTCCAGCTACAGGAAGTTGTAATGTTAGTATTTCTGTCTGATATTTCAATATATAACGTACTCTGCAAGTTTACAGTTTTTTGTTGCATTTTTACTTTACCTTTTATTTTTAAGGGATTTAAGTTTTTAGGTTTGGTTGTTAATTTTACAGCATTCAAATTTAAGCTTCTGTTCATTTGTTTGTTTCTTTGTATTTTTAACAATGTTATTAACATTAGTATTATTTGGTTGTTTATGTATCTTTCTATTTTATTAATTGGACATAAAAGTTCAGCCTTTATTTTTAGTTTGCAATGAAATGGTTGGATTCACATTTTTAACTACAAAACTTTGTTTCATTATCAGTTTATGCATTGTGGTTTTTTGTTTATTTTATTGAACACAAATTTGAATTCATTATAAATGTTTTTGTATTATTATTTTAAGAACATCTAAAGTAACTGTAGTGTAATTAGTAAAAAAAATAACTGTAAAATAAACTAGTATTTCGAAATCAACAACAAAAAATATGCATTTAAGTTGACGAATGCATTAAGTTCACACTTAATTCTTTGATTAACCAACATTAATTATTTTTAGTTTTTAGTTTTAGTTAATGCATTTTAATTAGTGCACTTTAGTTTTACTATCTTAAACAAATTAAGCAATTATTAAAGTACATATATAGTTCAATTAAGATCACACTTAAACTGTGCTACTGCACCGTCTGATTTAGTCAAAAATATTACATTTCTATGTTTTGTAAACCTATTTTTAAGTATAATTCATGCACATGCTGGTCAGTACATTAAAGATACTAAAAGTGATTAAGCAAGTACATTTACAAGTTTAGTCCCACTGAAGATGTTGAAAATTTAGGTGGCTTTAACTGGTTTGTATTCCAAATGATCCTGCAGTTGGTTTGATTTTTCTTCATTGATACCCTAAAAAAAGCGATTGAAAATCTATTTATTGACATACCAGTTTGACTGAGTTTCTCCTCTATGGTGTCCTTTAACTGACTGAAAACTCTTCTCATACTGTACAAAATCTCCCGAATCTTCAGACTGATTTCATTCCAGTTCCTGGTGTCTGCAGGTCTGTACTGCAGGGATGAGTAAATCTACAGCAGGAGAGAGAGAGGAGAAAGCCTTCAGCATGGGGAGTGTTCTGGTGTGTCATTGCTCAGAGAGATGTTGACTGACCTGTAGGAGGTGGAGGTGATCTTCAGTGTGTGAGAGCTGCTCCAGCTCAGTGTTTCTCATCTTCAGCTCAGTGATCTCCTGCTCCAGCTCTTTAATCAGCTCTTCCTCCTGTTTCTCTGCTGCTTTCTGCTGCTCCTCCGTCTCCAGCAGTTCAGTCTGACATCTCTCAATGCAGCCGATCAGATCTTTCCCCTTCTCTGAGTTCATCTGCTCAAACAGGTCAGCCAGGACATTAGTGGGGTTTGCTGAGAGAAGAATCAGTACTACTGCTACTCATAGTATATTAAATATCTTCCTGTAGCATTTGCACTGATTATGACAGCAAATGGCAGGTTAAACTCTTGCAGTTTTTCTCTAAGTTCACAATTTTGTGATAAATTGCACTTTTCTTGTCAGGTGGATGTCTGAGCAGAGCTTGCCTTAATGTCAGCTCAGTAGAAGTGTACATAAAGAGCACCCGATGGCTGTATTTTGGGTACATTTCAGACTAAGCCATTCTCAACCAAACTTACTTTTCTGACAACTGCTGAGAGTTTGACATCTTGAATCTTCTTGATTCTGTCTTGGATCATCTGCTGCACGTCTGTCTGTGTCTTCATCAGTTGAGTCAACAGACAGAAAACAAACACATTTACAAATATAGCTGCAAGCAGCAATTATCGGGGCCAAGCAGCCACATCATAAACAAGCACGGCATCAAGCCAAAAGAGCAACTGGAAAATTCTATATGGCAGCATTGTCTGAGTTAAACTTGGAAATTGGGCTAATGATCTATGGGGAGTTAAATACAACAGATTTTCCAACTAAATCGAGATGGTGGAAAGGAAGTTGTGTAAATTAAAGAATAAATTACATCAATGTTCACATATCAATGATACAAGGAATCTGCAAGACCAGTCTCATGACAAAAGACAAAACTATTCAAAAGTAATTTGGTAAATTTTGTAAGATTTCTATTGATAGAATTCAATTGGTTGTGAATTTTACCCAGAAGGTGGCGCAAACTGATGTAGCTTTGTCAATATCAGGTCTAGATCACACACTTTAAGTTTGGGTTCAATGCTTCAAACTATTGCAGCGATTGAACCTGTCATCTGGCGACATTACATTAAGTTTGTGCATGTGCAAAATGATAACAGTTTGGTCTTTCAACATGAATGCCATAACTTTTGGTCTACATGGTCTGAAGATGATCCGAGTCAAATTTGGTAAAGATATTGGACCAACAGTTTAGGAGTAAAAAAAAATGAATGGTTTGAACAAAATCAAAATGGCGGAGAGGTGTGGCAGATTATGACATAATTGGTATCTGTGTACTCGGCATGGAACAATTTGAGTCCGATTTCATCAAAAAAGCATATGCAGGAAAAAGTTTTTACCAAATTTGTACGTTTCATTGATAGTGACTAATGAATGTCTTATAACTCTTGACCCATAGGTGGCACCTATCTTTAGGTGCGTTCGACATGAAGCACAGCTGCAGCCGGTGATCAATGATATTAGCCAAGCGCAGGTGGGGGTGGAGTTAAAAAAAAAACGGAGCTGTCAAGCCAGACAGCTGGACACTTCGAGGTTTAAAGTTGCAAGGCACTGCTCACTGCAGAGCCACTTGAGCTCCACCGAGGGGAGGATGTGTCAACCCCAGTGACATCACATGTAGAAGAAGTGCGAGGAAGGAGGAGCTGGAGCTCAGCTCTGCCCAAGTGGCTCTTAATAATCTAAAAAAACTGTCCTATTAAATACAAAGCAATAAGCACAAATTCTAGGAGCTTTAACATCACTCCAATACTTCTTGTTTGAATATGCTAAAAAGGGATTTACATTTATTTACATTTATAAATATTGAACTTTCCAATGTAAAACCCAAAACAAGGGGTTTTGATTAAGTCTGAAACAATGATTAAGATTATTTTGGATAAGTGAGCTACACTTTAAGTAGAAGTTTCCCAGAAAGACCAGGTATAAATGGCTAGACAGGAAATAAAATATACATTATTTATAATCCTAAAAATCATTTTATAATTATTTAATAAAATAGTCATTTAACTTAATTTGTTAAAAAAGCTTTAGGGTGGCAGGATCATTGACGATAATTATTTCACTGTAAGACTTATTTGAGTTCATATTTAGGTTATTTACAAAAATATATCATTTAAATTGTTCATGGAGCTGAATGCAGTAAATAGTCTGTATAAAAAAGTTGAAAATAAACCTGTGCAAACAATCTAGCCTTTATAACCAGATTATTTGTCAAAAGACGATACTGCAGTAAAATATTTGTAGTCATTTAATAAGCATGATGTATACAAGATAGAGATGGTATAAAAAGTTAATTGTTTGTTTCGAAATTTGTGAATCGGAATTTGTCCAATAATAAACCCGAAACACACGTGGTTGTTGTCATGCCGTGAACTCGGCAAATCGTGTAATATCGGTGACATCATCAGAGCTTGTGCAGTCGCTCTTCAGATGCTGCACCGGCTAATTCAGTCGTCTGATCTCGGAGTATGCACCGCTTTAAGACAGATTTCAATTGATCTGGGCAGCACTGCATGAAGTCGAACGCATATTCTCAGGACAACCTAATGAATCCGTCAAGACAAATATCATAATAATAGACAAATTTAGTCAACAGTTATTAGCATTTTTAAAAATATCATTATAACGTTTGACAAAAGGTGGCGCTGTGACAAAACTTTTTGAGCACAGGGCACAGTCTCGTAGACGCATACTGACTTTCATAACATTAAAATATAGCAATGTTTTATAGAATCCAAAATAGCTAACCTGGGAAAATCAGACACCATTCGACTCGGCATGCTCTGCCGGATTTAAACAGATCAATTTTAGATCTTCTGATTCAATTTTGGTGAAAATCGGATAAACAGCCTAGGACGAGTTTGTTTAAACAGGTTTTTTGCGAAAAATTTAAAATAGCTAAAAAATTTTCATGACGAAAAATGGCATGGTGTGCGTTTGAATCGGCTTGAGCCAAGGAATTAGAGGAATTTTGATTGTAGCCCATTCGGTTCAAAAGTTATTCAAATAAACATAAGTGAAAATTTAGACAAGTGGTGGTGCTAGAGAGTTAGAGTGTCCAAATTTGTTGTGGTTGAAGATCAGACTGTCCTCTATCAGTGTGCCAAAGTATGTGCAAAAGGTTCATAGGGCTGCCATAGACTCCCAGAGCGGACGAAGAAGAAGAACCGGAATTGATACAATAGATGCCTACACACCTTTGGTGCTTAGCCCCTAATAACAGAGAATTAGTTTTCTGAGGAAACTTACAATATCTTCTCCAAAAAAAAAATTTTACAATCCCACTTTATATGAAGTGGCCTTAACTAATATGTACTTACATAGGAATTATTAGTTTGTTACAATGTACTTATTGTGTAAATACATGTATTTACTATGTACTCATGCTTGGTTGAATACATGTATGTAATTACACCTGTAATTAACTTTTGTAATAACATTTGTAAATACACTGTTGACCATCCCTTACACCTTACCCACCCTTAAACCTACCCATACCACCAAACCTGTTCATAACCCAACTTAAGAGCACCACAAGTGTTCTCAAATACATCATAAACACAGTAAGTACATTGTATTTATTTTTTGATGTAAGTACATAGTAGTTAAGGACACTTAATATAAAGTGGGACCAATTTTACTTTACAAAATCATGGAATATGTGTTTCTTTTTTATCTAATATCAATATATATAATCTAGTGTTAATATGTGCTTTGTTTGTTCTCTTTAATAGCAGTTGTGTCTGTAACTTGCCTTTTTTTCTTTACTCTCCTCTTCTAGAGGAACAGTGTTGTGGTTTTTGTGGTCTGTCTTGGTGCAGAATGAACACACACACGTCTGATCATCTCTACAGAAGAGCTCCAGAGGTCTGTCGTGTTTCTGACATATATAGTCCTCCAGATTCCTCACAGGATCCATCAGTTTGTGTTTCTTTAATCCTGCCACTTTAAAATGACGCTCTAAATGAGTTTGACAGTAAGAGCTCTGACACACCAGACACGACTTCAGAGCTTTCAGCTTTCTGTCCTCACAGACGTCACACACAACTTCAGCAACTTCAGCCTTTCGCTCAGGTCTCTTCTCTTTATAGTGCTCTGAGATCTCTCTGAGTGAGGTGTTAATCTTGAGATCAGGTCTTTGTGTGAATGTTTCTTTACAGTTTGGACAGCTGTAGTTCCAGCTTTTGTTCCAGCACTTATTCAGACAGCTCCTGCAGAAGTTGTGTCCACATGGAGTGCTGACCGGATCAGTGAACACATCCAGACATACAGAGCACTGAAGATCCTCAGACAGAGGACCCTTGGCCATGGCTGGAAAATAAATGATGAAGATAAATACCAACATTTTACTTAAAATGTAAGTTGATTCATGTTCTTGTGATACAGTACAGTGAAAATGTTTTTACCCCTTCCTGTTTTTTATAATGTGTCACAATTGAATCATTCAGATAAATAGATTTTTAACCATTACACAAAGATAACCAGAGTAAACACAAAATGCAGTTTTGAACAAATTATTTGATTTTAGAGGCAAAACAAACAAATATCCAAACCTCCCTGGCTCTATGGGAAAAAGTACATCTACCTTTACATCTAATACCTGAATGTACCACCTTACATTTGCAGCAAAAACAGTAATCAAGCATTTGTGATGACCGGCAGTTAGTCTTTTTTTATTCAACCACATTAGAATGTATTTGAGCATGAATAGACTTAAGGTAATTTCACAGCATCTCAGTCGGATTTAAGTTTGGACGAGATTTGGACAGCTGAACTAATGAACAAATGAACAAATGAACTAATCAGTTACAGACTGCATATTGTATTTAATTGTCATCGTGTCAAATTGAAATGTGTTTAATAACCTGAATATTATAAGTGTGGAAAATATGCACAAAAATGTCAAATGCAGAAAGGGGGCAAAAACAATTTCATAGCAATGATTTTTTTTTTTCATTTACACCAGTATTTTGCCTTTTTATCTATTTAATTTTATTTCTTTTTTACTAGGAACTACAGGTTGCATGATTTCTATATATTTTTACGATTACATACAAAAAAGAATAAGCTGGAAGGTTTAAATTTAGCTGCTACACATCCCTGATATAATATTAGCTTTAATAATATCACAAGTAATTTAATCAATAATTGTCTTATTTCTGGATTATTGACTTACATAGTGGTATATCTAAGCTCCGTCTTCTGGTTCGTTTTCCTTTTGTCGATGACGGTGAAGATCCTGCCATTGCTTTCTTAATTGAAATACACACAAAGAGAGAGAAAAGCAAGATGTAAAAATATATATTTATAAATTTATATTTATATTATATATTTAAAATGTATAAATTACATGTTTATTTATTTCCTGGTAACTTAATATTTATTATCAACATTCACAATTACTTTTAACTAAAAAGAAACATCAGCTAATATAAAGGATATTAGAAAATAGTGTTGGACAGTGAATTTCAAGTCAAAAATGTTAACTACTGGAGCATTTATAGTACAATATTCAAATATCATTAGAGAAATGCAGTATCAAAAACACAGTTGTTCGTTAAAACACAGTAAAAATTAAATTAACAATCTGAATGATGACCTGTTATTTAAATTTCAGCACAATGTAACCTTAAATGTGTTCAATTTTCCAAAGAAAAATCATGCATTTATTTAAAAATAGATATCTGTGCACTAAACATATTACTTGATCAAAAGTAACCTCATGTTGTTAAATATAAATGTGTTTTTCAGCTGAAGTGCAACAGGTTTGTCCAGTTTGTCTGCAGATCTTTTGTTTCCCCATTCTTTAGTCCTTATTTTGTTTCATAGAATGAAACATAAAGTTGTTTTATAACTTGTCAAATGGCAAATATAAATACAATACTAATACAAAGTAAACGTTTGAATACTTTAAACAAATAAACCTGCATCTTTTTAACTTCTATAACAATTCTATTAACAATCTATTCAGTCTGACTATAAACCTGAAAATCTGTTCAGTTCAATATCTCTAGAACTATATTTCTGCCACTTACCTGTGAGGATCAAATGTATCCACAAGTCTTTAAGCAGTGAATTAAATAGGCCTATTCTGTAGTTTTATCATTTCAGCTGTAAAAGTTGTTGTTGATCAAGTGACTTTCAATTGTGAACGACAGTGGTGTCAGAGATCATAACTCATCAGCGCTTTTTTTCTAGATCTGAAGACGGATGTTGAGAGAAATATTCTTTAAAGGGACAGTTCACACAAAATGAACATTTCCACACCGTTTACTCCAGTGTTTCCAAACTTTAATGAATTTCTTTCTTCTGTTGAACACAAAACATATTCTGAAGAATGTTGAACACCAGCAGTCATTGAACCCACAATAAAGAGAAATAATATCAATGTCTGCAGCTTTCCAGCATTCTTCAAAACATTTTTAGTGTTCAACAGGACAATACAAAAAATAAATACAATAAATGGGTTGGGAACAAGTGGAAGCCTGAAAAAATGTGATTAGATTAAAAAAAAAGACAGAATTTTCATTTTTTGGAGTGAACAGTCCCTTTAATATACTCAAATTTCAGCTATGTATGTAAAACAAAACATTTGCACACAAACTCTGCTTTTGTGTGTGTGTGTGTGTGTGTGTGTGTGTGTGTGTGTGTGTGTGTGTATAAACCATATATATAATGCAAATAAAAAAGAAAGATCTCTAAATGTACTTTGACTTGTATTTTGGAGACAACGCAACAAACATTATTTAATGTGTTCCTCATGGTTTGGATTGTTTTTTGTTCTTTTCAATATAAACACATTCCAATTTTGGTTCTTGCAACACATTTCAAAAAAGTAGGAACAGGAGCCATTTAGGGTTAGTAATTATTTAAATTATAAATAATGATGTGATTTGAAACAGGTGATGTCAACAG